TTTTAATGGGGGTGGGTGGGGGTGGGGTGGTGATGGGGGGGAAGGAGGTGTCTCTGGGCGAGTTTTGAGTTTGAGGGGGGTTGAGGTGAGGGGGGTGTGGGGGAGGGGTGTGGGTGGGGGGTGAGTTGGGTGTGGGTGAGGGTGTGAAAAAGGGTGTGGGGTGTGGGTGGAGAGTTGGCGATGGGGGGATGTGGAAAAGGGGTGTGGGTGTGGGTGGGTGTGGGCTTAGGTGTCAGTGGGGTAGGGGTGTAGAAAGGTGGGGAGGTGTCGGGTACTGGTGTGGGGTGTGTGGATCGAAAATGGGGTGTGGGTGTTGGATGTGGGTGTGTGGGGGAGTTGGCATGGAGTGTGGGCGGATGAGAGAGTATTAGGGTGTGGGTATGAATAGGGGTGGGGTTTGGGGCGGGTTGAAACATAGGTATGGGTGGGCGTGAGGATGGGAGTAGAATCTACTGTGTGTGCGTTATATTTACATCTGAATTCGTCACTACCCTCTCAACACATCAATGAATTTGCAATATTCTTAGTGTGTTTGACTGACAACACGAGACAGATGAACAATGATAATTTTCATTACTGTATTACTCACTCGACTGGCGAATGAGGCAGGGGTGGGGGGGGTGTGGTGGGGGTAGGGGTGGGGGTGGGGGTGAGTGGGATATTTTCTAATTCCTCTTTCTTGTCTGTCTGTCTGTCTCTTTCTATGTCTGGTTTTGTCTATTTATGGCTCTAACTTGTTCTCTGTCTATGTATTTATATTCCTTCTGCCTTTCTGTCGTCTTTTTGGCTGCCTCTTTCTGTCTCTATATTATCCTCTGTCATTATATCTGTTTATTTTTCTTCATTTTCCTCCTCCCTCGTCTCTCTCTCTCTCATATTTAACAGAGCTGTTTACGTGAGACTGATATCTAAGGTTCTGGTAATATTTGGGTCGATCATAAGATCTCTCTCTCTCTCTCTCTCTCTCTCTCTCTCTCCTCTTTCTCTCTCTCTCCTCTCTTTCTCTCTCTCTCTCTCTCTCTCTCCTCTCTCTCTCTCTCTCTCCTCTCTCTCCTCTCTCTCTCTTCTCCTCTCTCTTCTCTCTCTCTCTCTCTCTCTCTCTCTCTCTCTCTCTTCTCTCTCTCTCTCTCTCTCTCTCTTTCTCTCTCTCTCTCTCTCTCTCTCTCTCCTCTCTCTCTCTCTCTCTCTCTCTCTCTCTCTCTCCTCTCTCTCTCTCTCTCTTCTCTCTCTCTCTCTCTCTCTCTCTCTTCTCTCTTTCTCTCTCTCTCTCTCTCTTCTCTCTCTCTCTCTCTCTCTCTCTCTCTCTTTCTCTCTCTCTCTCTCTCTTCTCTCTCTCTCTCTCTCTCTCTCTCTCTCTCTCTCTCTCTCTCTCTCTCTCTCTCTCTCTCTCTCTCTCTCTTTCTCTGTGTGTGTTGTGTGTGCATGTTTCTCTTCTCTTTGCCCTGTGTGATTGTTCATTGTTTTATGTATGTGTGTGTGTGTGTGTGTGTGTGTGTGTGTGTGTTGTGTGTGTGTGTGTGTGTGGTGTGTGTGTGTGTGTGTGTGTTGTGTGTGTGTCTATGTGTGTGTGTGTGTGTTTGAGCACATCTCTTTTCCTCTATTCTATTTACTTTTCACTTCCTAAAGGAGTATTATACAAGTTGTTTTGTTATCAAATAATCCAAGTGTTGCCGACATTTTTTTTAATTCACAAGTTCAAAGAATAATAAAACATCTTATAACAAAGCGAATATCAGGGAAGAACAAACGAGAATTCTCCTTAAATAATCCCAATTATCAAGTAGATAAACAAATAAATAGGCAGAAAACCAAATAAGTAGACGGATAAACAAATAGATAGATGAATGAATAAATAAGTAAATGAACAAACAAATAACTGAATAAACAAATAAACAAATAAACAAATAAATATACAATGAACAGCACAAAAAAACTTTATTTCTCCCTCTCGAAGAAAATTAGCCCCTCCCCCTATTTTTTTCTCGAAAACCAAAATCAACTCAAATTCACAAACACCTCAACTCCACTCCCTCAATTGTGAAGTTGCAGACGATCACATCCACACCAGATATTTCAAGGTCATTAGGCTAATGTTCGTGCGGGTATTTCTCCTCCTCCGTGCCCGGAATATGACCCTAAACGCCATCCATAAGGGCGAGGATCATGTGTATTACCGATGGCATTATATGGACAAAGACATTTACGGTTTTTGGTCAGTGGCATACGAATATGTCCCTATTTGCTCTCGTATACCCGGCGGGATGCTACTCGCCCGGAAAATACCTCTCCCATCAATGACATCCAAGTGTCCATACCCACACGAACGAGTCCCCATATCCACACGAACGACCCCATTCCACCATATCCACACGAACGAGTCCCCATATCCACACGAACGAGGCTCCATATCCACACGAACGAGTCCCCATATCCACACGAACGAGTCCCCATATCCACACGAACGAGTCCCCATATCCACAACGAACGAGTCCCCATATCCACACGAACGAGTCCCATACCCACACGAACGAGTCCCCATATCCACACGAACGAGTCCCATATCCACACGAACGAGTCCCCCCACACGAACGAGTCCCCATATCCACACGAACGAGTCCCCATATCCACACGAACGAGTCCCCATATCACACGACGAGTCCCATATCCCCACGAACCCATATCGAACGAGTCCCCATATCCACACGAACGAACGAACGAGTCCCCATATCCACACGAACGAGTCCCATATCCACACGAACGAGTCCCCATATCCACACGAACGAGTCCCATACCACACGAACGGTCCCATATCCACACGAACGAAGAGTCCCATATTTCCCCATACCCACGACGAACGAGTCCCCATATCCACACGAACGAGTCCCCATCCACACGAAACGAGTCCATCCACACGAACGAGTCCATATCCACACGACGAGTCGAACGAGTCCCCATATCCACACAACGAGTCCCCATATCCCACCGAGTCCCATACCACACGAAACGAGTCCCATATCCACACGAACGAGTCCCCATACCACACGAACGAGTCCCATATCCACACGAACGAGTCCCCATACCACACGAACGAGTCCCATATCCACACGAACGAGTCCCCATATCCATATCCACACGAAACGAGTCCCCATACCCACACGAACGAGTCCCACCACACGAACGAGGAAACGAGTCCCCATACCCACACGAACGAGTCGAGTCGAGTGAACGACCCCACACGAACGAGTCCCATACCCACACGAACGAGTCCCCATATCCACACGAACGAGTCCCATACCACACGAACGAGTCTCCATATCCCACGAACGAGTCCCCACATCCACACGAACGAGTCCCCATACCCACACGAACGAGTCCCCATATCCACACGAACGGAGATCTCAAAGAAGAGAAGAAGGATAGAATGTCGACCTTCCTCGAGGAATAGAAAGAAATGGAGGATTGATTTGGGAAGCCGGCGGCGGCGGTAGCGAGGGCCCCCAGGTGCACGTCATGGTATGCTAGGCAGGGCATGTTCTCCACGACTGACCTTATGCATGCTAATAGCTCGGATGCATGGCCATGTTCGAGGACAACAGGTTAATGCACTTGGGAGACGGACTCGGGACGGTTGCTATGGAAACGGTGTTTGTTTACCATGGGAGGTTTTCTGCAATGGGCTTTTGGTCTCTCGTGAGGGGAGGTTACAGGTCGGGGTGTTGGGGTGTTGGTTTCAGGTATTTTTTTCGTTCTTGTTTTTTTTTTATTTTTTATTTGTTTTTCTATGTTGTTTTCGTTATTTTTTCATTCTTGTTTTTTTTTTATTTTATTTATTTGTTATTTGTTTTTCTATGTTGTTTCGTTATTTTTTTCATTCTTGTCCTTTTATTTTATTTTATTTATTTGTTATTTGTTTTCTATGTTTTTCGTTATTTTTTCATTTTTGTCCTTTTTTCATTTTATTTATTTGTTTATTTGTTTTTTCTATGTTGTTTCGTTATTTTTTCGTTCTTGCTTTTTCATTTTTTTCTTTTCCATGTTGTTTTCGTTATTTTTTCGTTCTTGCTTTTTTCATTCTATTTATTATTCTTTTCCATGTTGTTTTCGTTATTTTTTCGTTCTTGCTTTTTTCATTTTATTATTTTTTTTCTATTCTTCTTTTTCTCTCTCTCTTTTTAGGGATGTCTTATTAGGTTCGTTCTTGCTTTCTTTCATTCTTCTAGTCTTTCTTTCTTTCTTTTGAGGAGTGTCTTGTTAGTCTTTTTGGGAGTAGTTTTGTCTTGCTCGTTCTTTTATCCCCTGTCTCTGGTTTCTGTATTTATCTTTCTCTCTTTTTGGTGTCTTATTAGATCTTTGATTCATTCTTTCTCGGTGTCTCTTTTATTCTCTCTCTCTCTTTCTATCTCTTTCTCTCTCTTTTTCTATCCCTTCCTTCTCTCTTTCTCTACCTCTCTCTCATTCTATCCCTTTCTCTCTCTTTCTATCCCTTCCTTCTCTCTCTTTTACGTGTCTCATCAGACTCACATCCATCCTCTTTCCCTCTCTCTTTAACCTCCCTTCCTCCCCTCCACCTCTCTCTTTCTCTCTCTCACCTATTCTCTCTTTCTTTCTCTCTCTCTCTCTCTCTCTCTCTCTCTCTCTTCTCTCTCTCTCTCTCTCTCTCTCTCTCTCTCTCTCTCTCTCTCTCTTCTCTCACTATTTCTTATCTCTCTCTCTCTCTCTCTCACTATTTCTTACCTCTTCCTCCAATCCGTCTCCACGCCTCCGATTCGTCTTGATCCTGCGATTGGTGTCTAATCGGTCACTGGGATTGGGAAGGATTAGGATATTAATAAAGACATCACGACTAAAAGGCTCTGCTTGGATATCCTGCCTGCTCTTAGGAGAGTAGGATGAAAGGAGGATACAAGTAGGATACATGGAGGATACAGGGAGGATTACAAGGAATACAGAGAGGTACAAGTAGGATACATGAGGATGCAGGCAGGATACAGGGATACAGGATGAGGAAGGATACACCAGGGAGGATACAGGAAGGATACAGGGATACAAGGATGAAGGGAGGATACAGGAAGGATACAGGGATACAAGGATACAAGGATGAAGGAGGATACAAGAAGGATACAGGGATACAAGGCAGGGAGGATACAGGAAGGATACAGGGATACGAGGATGCAGGGAGATACAGGATACAAGGATACAAGGATGAAGGGAGAGGATACAGAAGGATACAGGGATACAAGGATGCAGGGAGGATACAGGGATACAAGATACAAGGACTGAAGGGAGGATTTACAGAAGGATACAGGGGATACAAGGATGCAGAGGATACCAGGAGGTAACAGGATAGAACAGGATAGTCGGATACAAGTGATACAGGGATATCACGGATACAGAGAGGATACAGGAAGGATACAAGTAGGATACAAGAAGGATACAGGGATACAGGAAGGATTACAGGAAGGATCAGGGATACACGGATAAGAGAGGATACATGGTAGGATACATGGAGATGCAAGAAGGATAGGGATACACGGCATACAGAGAGGATACAGGGATACAAGAAGGATACAGGAAGGATACAGGGATACACGGATACAGAGAGGGTACAAGTAGGATACATGGAGGATGCAGGAGAGAATACAAGAAGGATACAAGAAGGATACAGGATGGATAAAGGGAGGATACAGGAAAGATACACGATGATACAAGAAGGATCAAGAGTATCAAGAAGCATGAAAGAAGAGGGAGGATACAGAGCGAATACATGAGGGATACAGAGAAAGAGATACAAGAAGGATACCGGAATGATACAGGGAGGCTGCAGGGAGGATAAGGATGGATACAAGAGAGGATACAGAAGGATACAGGGATGATACAGGGATACACGGATACAGAGAGGATACAGGAAGATACAGAGAGGATACAAGAAGGATACAGGGATATACAGGGATACACGGATACAGAGAGGATACAGGAAGGATACAGAGAGGATACAAGAAGGATACAGGATACACGGAATACAGTGAGGATACAGGGATACAAGAAGGATACAGGGATACGAGAAGGATACAGAAGGATACAGCTAGGATACAGGAAGAGTACAGAGAAGATACAAGGATACAGGAATACAGAGAGGATACAGGGATACAGACAGGATACAAGAGATACAGGGATATACAGAGAGGATACAGGAAGGTATGCAGGAAGGATACAGGAGGATACAGAAATACAAGAAGGACAGAAAGGATACAGAAATACAGAGAGGATACAAGAAGGATACAAGAAGGATACAGGAAGGATACACCTTTCTTATCCTCTCATTATTTCCTTCTTCATTTACTGCCATTCTTCTTTCTCCCCTTTTTCTCTCTCTCCTTTCCTTATCCCTCCATTCATTTTCACTCACCTCTCTTTCATTTTTTTTCTCTCCCTCTCTCTCTCTCCTTTCATTCATCCTCTCTTTATCCCCCCCCCCCCCCCCTGTCTCCCACTTCGCACTGTCTTGCCTCCTACGCTCCACCTCCGCTGCCAGAGGTCTTCATTATCGGATTTTGGACCTTATGTGACGAGCGAGCCTGAGGGAGGGGAGGGGGGGAGGGGGGGGAGGGGCGTGGCTACTCTAGGGTGTGGGCGTGAGGGAGGGAGTGTAGAGGGGCGGGGTAGGGTCGTAGAGAGGAGTGTGGGTGTAGGGATATGGTCGGGCGTGGAGAGGTGTGGCGTTGAGATGTGTGGGCGTGGATAACTGTGGGCGTTTAGAGGTGTGGGCAGAGAGGTGGGCGTGGAGAATGTAGTCCAGGATGTGGGCGGCATAGAAAAGTGTGGGAATAGTGAGGTTGTGGGCGCAGAGAGGTGTTTGGTTGAGAGTTGTGGCGCAAGGACCTTGGCGGGCGTAGAAAAGTGTGGGTGTAGAGAGCTGTAGGCGTAGGGACGTGGGCGGGATTTCGGGCGGGCGTTGAGAAGCGTGGGCGTGCGTAGGGACATGGGAGTTAGGGGGGGGGGGGAAGTTGGCAGGAGAGCCATAGAAGGAAGGGGGGTAGGGGGGGGTAGTGGACATTGGAGGGGGGTCATAGAGGGGTGTGGCCGGGCTTAGAGGGGGGCTGTACGGGGGAGGGGGGGGGGTAGAATGGCGTAAGTAGGGGGGGGAGAGGGAAAGATGAGTAATGAGGGGAAGAAGAGAGAGGAATAAGGGAGAAAATAGAATAACGTAAAGATGAGCATCCGGGACCTCGGGTGTGTGTTGCGTCGCGTGTTGCTAAAAAAAAGTCACTAAAAAAATAAAAAAATAAAAGTAAGAAAGAAGGAGAATAACGAAATTAATCAAACAAAAAAAAAAAAGAGAAAAGCAACGTTAAAGAAAATACCCCCTCTCCCCCTCCCCCCCAATAAAAATAAAAACAACAACGTGATAAGGAAAATCTTAAAAAAAAGAAAAGAAAAAAAAGAAAGAAAGAAACATGATGATAAGAAAAACGAAAAAAAAGCTTTGATAACATAAATAGAAATTAAAACATTATCAACATTATCGTAATATAAATATGCATATATGTATATTATATATATATATATATATATATATATATATATATATATATATATATATATATATATATATATATATATATATATAATATATACACACATACACACACACACACACACACCACACACACACACACACACACACACACATATATATATATATATATATATATATATATATATATATATATATATATATATATATATATATATATATATATATATATAATATATAGAGATACAAAAAAAAAATAAAAAATAAAAAAAAATAAAAAACGGGATATCGCAGGCACATTTCGCAACCCATAGAAGTACAGAGCAGGCACCATGACCCTCTCACAGTGCCACTTCCACGCTGTATATACGCAGACCAGCCGTGGCACCAGCACGTCCACAGGGCACATTATCATGGCCAATTTAACGTACAGATGACACTGCTGTAGTACTGTTGCTGTAGAGTTTATTATTTATTAATTAAGTTTATTAATTAAGTTTTATTAATGATTACAGTACAGATTACGGAGAAATGTACCCATTTTTGTTCTTATTTATTTACGGTTTAACTCTGTGAATGCAAATGATTTAATTGCAATGTAGGAGAGAAGGTAAATCGTATAGGGAGAAATACCCATTATTATGAGGGTGGATATAAACCTGTACAATTAATGCAGGTGTTAATAAGTAGAGATGTATGGTAACTTTTTACTTCATTCGTCCTAAAACATTAAATTTAGAGGCTTGATCCTTATATTTATCTATATCTTTTAATGTTCATTCATATCCATCTATCCATCTATCTATCTATCTATCTATTTCTATCTATCTATCTATCTATCTATACATCTCCTATCTGTCTCTATTTTCTATCTATATATCTCTCTCTGAATCTACATCTATGTGTACATCTGTATCTGCTTCTATCATTCTATATCCATCTTCTACCTATCTATCAATCTATCTAAACCATTTACTTGGATCTCTTTCTTTCAGCCCTAAATAGGTTCATTATTTTGAGCAAAATCCCCAAACGGAAGTACTTTACATAACTCTCATATCCTAAGATTCAAGCTTTCCCACTTCAACTACACTCTTCCCATTAATAAATACAAATTCATTTAAAAACAAAGTTATCATGAAAATGTCATGTCACAACGTCAAAAGAGAAAGAAAAAAGAAGAGATAGGTCGATAGATAGATGGGAGAGGGGTGAGGGGAGGGGGGATGAGAGAGAGAGAGAGGAAGAGAGAGAGAGAGAGAGAGAGAGAGAGAGAGAGAGAGAAAAAAAGAAAGAGAAAGAGAAAGTTATTAGTAAATGATGTTCTGACAGTACCACACAGCAAAAGGACCCGTTTTAAAGACCCATATATATATATATATATATATGCAATGTCTGCAGTGTTGCGGTCTTTGTGGGTTTCCGAGAAAAGTGGCTAATATGCTGCTGCAATTACAACGGACGAAAGAGAAGCATCTATTTAATTGCAGCTTTATCAGGACAAACTTGGTGAGTGTGACTTGTTGGCAGGGGGGAGGGGGGAGGGGGATTCGAGGGTGGGAGTGTGGTGGGGGTGGGGGGGGGGGAGTACTGAGGTTTTGAGACTATGCCCCCTCGTTTGAATTGTATTCATGGTTAAGCTAATAGAATCACATGGAGAGTATCTGATAAAGAAAGGACAAAATGAAATACAATCATTTCATTCTGTATTTGTTGATAAGCATTACAGATACAAGTGAACCCGTACACTGCATTCTTCACATTACATCATCCATATTCCACATTTCCTTGCATAACCTACTCTAAATAGTGCTCATGAGTATGTTACTGCCAGAAATGAATGCCATTTATATGTGTAAGTGGAAAAAAGGAGTGGAGTACTGGAGAGGGTAAATTACTCCAGAAGTAAATACTTTCATAAGTGTTGGTGAAAAAGTGAGAGAAAGCCGATGCAGATATAGATAGATGAAGTAAAGAAAGATAGATTGAGAGAGAGAGAGAGAGAGAGAGAGAGAGAGAGAGAGAGAGAGAGAAGGAGAGAGAGAAGAGAGAGAGAGAGAGAGAGAGAAGAGAGAGAGAGAAGAGACCGAGCCCGAGTAGAGAAATAAAGAGACACCCGAGTAATGATGATCAAAAGAGAGAGAGACCCCAGAGAAGAAGAGAGAAAAAAAGAGAAAACCCGCGGTCAGGGAAAGAGAGAGAGAGAAGAGAGAAGCCAGGACAGGACGCGGCAAGTGAATGGTGATGGCTTCAGCCGAGAGTAAAACGCGAAGGTGCGATGAGGAGCCGCTGCTGCTGATGTGGAGGAGGGCTGGCTGGTGCTGTGGGTGTCCAGCGGTGGTGGCGTGTTCGTTGACCTCCTCGCTGCACCGCACTCCCGTGGCTCAGCTCCCTCGCTCACCATAGGCACTGCGCGCACATTGTCTCGCACTAATCAAAATGAGACGGCCGAAGCGAAAAGAAACCAGCTCGTGATGTCAACAGTTCGTGAACCAAAATTTTTGCCTCACCAAAACATTCCCACCCTATCACAGCACGCGCGAATCAATCCTCGCATGCTAATTGGGCAGCGATGCGTGACGTCACCGAACTCCACCCAATAGATTTCTAGGTTCTAGGTACGTCATACAAACCGACTCCCTTTTCAGTCTCCGCGAGGGTCGGTCTTTGTCATTGGCCACCTTTAATAATGACGTAACGGTTCTGCTAGGCGCTCATTGGCTCCCTGCGCCGTGACATCATAGACAGTGTGAGCGGTGTTTAGACACAACCACCTTTATGAACGTTTAATTCCTTTAGAAAATAATCTTTTCCTCCTGGAGACAATGGAAATAGAATTGCAAAGAAGACTTAAAGGAGAATGTACCGCGAAAACGGCGGTGTTTGAGAGAAAAACGATAAGAAAGCGGAGGCAGAGCGCGGCAATGTATGAAGGCCGAAAATTCTTCCCTGTGTGGCCACACTCACCCCTCGCGTCCGAAACCTTTGGACGGTGGCTTCGGATCGTGTCAGAAATAAGTGTAACGTAAGCGATTGTAGTTCAGCCTCTTACACGTGTCTCCACTAGGGTTCTAAATGATATTCGGGAAAAGAAATTCGCACTGGCGTTGTAGAAAGTCGACTGTGACGCCGCGATACAA